GGCCTGCAGGTCTCTCAGTCTTGGAGCCCCCAGGGCTCAGGTTCCGCCCCCCTCCACCCCCAACCTATAACCTCCTCCTATGCCTGGCTGCTGCTGGCTCTGCACACTAGCCTGCACGGCTCCGCCAAACAGCGCCCTGGAGGCTGCATAGGTCACCCTTGCCGGTCCCTCCCTTTGTCTCAGGAGGCAAAGCTGCCCTGCCAGTGCGTTGTGTCTCCCCTGCACCCACCTCTCCCTCCTCCCCTTGTTTTCTTGTGCAACTGGGGAATCAAACCCACAGGCGCTCTACCATGGAGCTGTGTTCCCAGCTCTTTTTACTTTTTTTTTTTTTTTTTTTTGAGACAGGGTCTCACTAAGTGGCCCAGGCAGGACTTGAACTGGAGATCCTCCTACCTCAGCCTCCAAAGCACACCACACAGGGCTCATTGGCACCCCCCTGAACACTGCGTGCTGTCGAATGGGGCAGAGAGCAGAGGAAACAGTCCCCAGGGGGACGCCTACTGCTGGGCAGCAGGGGCAGGCGGTGGAGACAGGGAAGTCCAGGCTGAGTCGAAAGTGAGGGATGTGGTCCCCGGTGGGATGCCGGTGCAGGACCTGCACCACTCGGTCAGAAGCCACTCTGATGTCACTGTGGAGGTCCAACCCTTCCATAGGAACCAGGTGACCATGGGCAGTGCCCAGGACCCTGGACCGGACTGCTGTGACTGTGAAAGCCATCGGTGTCCCCCTTACCAAGGAGTCCCAGTCCCACATGGGCCACCTCATCCTGCTGCTATGCAGCTATCTGATGGGCAGAGTTGTCCTTCACTCCCACCAGCACCCCAACATGAACACCCTTCTTGAGGCCGCGTGGGTGCACCCCTCTCATCCTCGCACTTGAGAGGCTGAGGCAGGAGGGTTGCTTTGAGTTCCAGGCCAGCCTGGGCTACACAGGGAATTCAAGGCCAGCCTGGGTTACATGAAACTTGCCGCCCAAAAAACTCTTAATAAAAATTGTGAGGGGCTGGGGAGGTGGCTCAGTGGAATAAACGCTTCCCTGGCAAGTGCAAGGGCCTGAGTTCAATCCCTGGTTCCACAAAAATAAATAAATAAATAAACAAACAAACAAACAATAAATAATAAAACTGTGATGGGGGCTGGTGAGATGGCTCAGTGGTCTAAAGCACCTACTTAGAACAAGCTTAGCAAAAACAGAGGGACTGCAGTTCAATCCCCCAGCACCACATGCCAGCCAGCCCCGTCCCCTGGTGGGCTGAGCTGGCCACACACACACACACACACACACACACACAAATAAATTAATTAATTTTAAAAAATTGTGTTAGTTGATACATTGTGTCAACTTTTCCGATTCAGCTCCGGCAGATCTCAGCATGGTCCTCGCCCTGCAGGTGGGCAGGGCCCAGGAATGGAGAAAGGCAGGAAGCCCCCCTGCCTGGTTTCCTGCCCTTCAGCCCCGCTTCCGTGGAGAGGTCTGTCTTCCGAGGAGCTTGACCTTCACGGCCGCGCCACTTTGGAGGAGCTCTGATCTTCACTGTGGAGCGCTGGTCTTCGCAGTCCGCGCAGAATGAGCGCCGCTGCTGCTCCTCCTCCTCCTCTGGTCTTCATTGTTCTCTGCCGCATAAACTGCTGTTGTTTGCCTTGGAGCCAGCGGAATATGGTCTGAACCCTCCAGTAACAGTGAGCTAAATAAACCTTTCCTTCCTTCATTTTGAGTGTTGGGTATTTGTCCCAGCAACGAATAAAAAGAAACTAAGACAAACATGATGCAATAAACTATTTTATTGATCCGAAAGAAAGAGGAGCCTTCTGGGAACTGTACCCAGCTCTAAGGGCAGCCAGGAACGAAAGCATCAGACGTCCTCCTGCAGAGAAAGCACAGCTGGCTTTGCAGGGCAGGTGAGGATCACTACCCAACTTCCCAGCTCCCTGAATTCGTGTCTTCCGCCAGAAGACACCAGGGCCTACTAGAGGCACCTCCCCGGGGGAAGGAGGACAGCTCACTTGCACACAGGAGGGAGGTCTGTGATCCTAACAGGATTTTTGTGTTTTAAATACATGTGGGCCACATATGGTGGCACGCCTGGGATCCCAGCACTTGGGAGGTTGAGGCAGGAGGATCCAGCCTGAACTGCATAGCGAGCCCCTGTCCCAAGTGCTGTCTGGCAAATGCAAGGTCCCCAGTTCGATCCTTGGTACCTCAAAAAAAAAAAAAAAGGCACTGGGCATTGAACCACAACCCCATGTCCCACACGCAGGCACACCTGAGGCCCTTTTTGAAGACAGCTTCAGTAAGTCACCAGGTTGGTAGTTACTGGGCTGGGCTCGAACTTGTGATCCTCCTGCCTCAGCTTTCCAGATTGCTGGGACAAGGGCAGAGCGGCCACCAAGGCTCAGCTGCAGCAGGTGCAGTTGGTGAGAAGCGTGGGAACCCGGGGGCCACTCGTTCCTGTGCCCGCGGCGCCCTCTAGCGGTCATTTGCTGCACTAGTCTTGGGGCGTCTGAGTCCTCAACTGCCCAGGGGTTGCAGATCCCAGGGCCGCCTCCCAGGATCCTAGGCAGGAGACGGTTCCCACTGTGGGCTCCTGCAGCATGTGGCCACTTTCTCAACTCCTCCGCCACACCTCTGTACAAATACAGCTTTGTTTTGGTGCGGGAGAAAGAACCCAGGCCCCGCGGTCGAGATAGGTATTTTTATTTAATTTTGTCTGAGACAGGATCTGGCTAAGTAGTTCAGACTGGCCTTGAGCTCATTTTGTAGCCCAGGCTGGTCTCAAACGTGCAAAGATCCTCCTGCCTCAGCCTCCCTAGTGCTGGGATCATAGGCGTGCATTACCACCCCAGCTCTAGAGATGGACATAGACACAGATAGAGATATTATTCATGGGCCTCAGGAGATTCTTTATGAAGCCATGACCTGAAGGCTGGAGGCAGGAGGATTGCCTAACGCCAAAGTTATTATGGGATACATAGTGAGGTCCTGTTTCAAAACAAACAAATAAAAAAGAAACAAAAGCTGGGACATAACCGGAAGAATCACAACCCAAAGTCATATGTTTGACTTTTTTTTTTTTTTTTCTTTTTGGCGGAACCGGGGATTGAACTCAGGCCCTTGCCCTTGCGCTTGCCAGGGAAGTGCTTATTCCACCGAGCCATCGCCCCGGCCCCAGCATTAAGCCCTTCTATCCACACGTCCGGGGCTCATGGTCCCCACTGGTGTAGCAGGGGAGCCAGCCTCCGGGGAAGTTGGGTGTTGGTGACCCTAGTCTCCCCTGCTAGTGTCCAGCCCGCTCAGGGAGGTGGCTCGGTTTTAGGGGGAAGGAGGTGTGGGCACTTTGGGACCCTCAGGCCACAGCGAGTAGCTAGCTGTTCACACTTTAATGTTCTGGAGTCAGGTTCTTGCTATTTGGTTAGACTGACATCAAACTCAAAGCGACCCTCCTGCCTCAGCCTTCTGAGTGCTGGAGCTACAGCGGGTGTCGCCATGCGTGGCTCTACATGCATCCTGCAGGGCGGGCAGACTGGCATCACCTGCACGAGGTCACAGATGGCGCAGAGGGGCTTCTTGTCAGTATGTGTTTATTCGCAGTGGGAGGAAAACACCGCTCAGGCCAAGGTGACGGCGCGGGTCCGTGGCTCAGAGATGACAGCAGGTGAGCCTGGGACAGGGGAGGCGAGGGTGGCACTGCGGTCAGGGGTGCCTGCGTTCTGGCCCGGGCGTTAGGGCCTCTGCGAAATGTTCCCAGGCCAGGGACCTGGCTTTTTGCTGGCGCAGGAGTGCAAGGGAAAATCCCTTGGGAAGGGGGGAAGTGGTCTGGTTTGTTCTGCACGGTGTCATATAAGTTATGAAGTAACAAAAGCGATGTTCCTTTCCTTAGAAGGGAAGCTGGGCTGGGGGCACTCCGCCCTGCGGCAGGCTGAGACAGGAGGATCACCCTAGCCCAGACAACTCAGCGAGACCCTGTTTCAAAATTTATTTATTTTTATTTTTCACCAGGAATCAAACTCAGAACCTTGAGCTCACCAGGCAAGCATTTGTACTACTGAGCTACAACCCTGGCTCTGCATTTAAAAATTTTATAAAGGGCTGGAACGGGCCTAGCAGGGTGTAGGACACAGGCCCCAGGCCCCAGGCCCCGGTGTGACTTGGAGGGCAGTGCTGGCAGTGGGTGACAGACCCCACCCAGGAGCACAGGACACTGGGCCCAGCCCCAAGGGCTGCGGCCGCCTGGCTGTCTGTGGTCCTTCGTCTCCTGCCCAGGCCCAGGGACACCCAAGATACGTCGCAGGCACCAGGAGGACATCTGCAAGGCCAGGGCAGATCTCAATATGCCGAGAACACTAAGGAGAGAAGTTCTCACCTAAATCATGTCATGCAAGTCTCATGATATTTTTTATTTTTCTTTTTTTGGTGGAACCAGGGATTGAACTCAGAGCTTTGTGTTTGCCAGGCAAGCACTTATTCTTTTCAGTCTCCCCAGCGCTGGATTACAGGCATGTACCACCATGCCATCTCTGTGGCTGGCTCAGTGTGCCCAGGGTTGGGGGCGGGCCAGCGTGACCTGCGGTACTGGGGATCGAACCTTGGTCCCTATGCTTGCCTAAGCGGGCACTTAGTCCGCTGAGCTATCTTGACAGCCTCCTCACAATTTTTTTTGGTGGAACCGGGGATTGAACTCAGGCCCTTGCGCTTTCCAGGGAAGCGCTTATTCTACTGAGCCATCTCCCCGGTCCCTCCTCCTCACAATTTCAAACACCACTTTTATTCTGGTAACTGGCACTTGAATCTGGGGCCTTTCCACTAAGCTGTGTTAACTTTTTTATTTTTACTTATTTTGATTTTTTGAGACAGGGTCTCACTATGCGGCCCAGGCTGGCCTCAGACTCACAGTGATGCTCCTGCCTCAGCCTCCCCAGGGTTTGGATTATAGGTGCGTGTAATGACGCCTGGCCCTATTTTTCATTTTGAGACAGGGTCTCACTAAATTACTAAATTGTCCAGGCTGGGCTTGTACTTGCCATCCTCCTGCCTCAGCCTCCCAGGGCTGGGATTACAGGCCCGTGTCACTATGGATCTCTAGAAAAAACACTCAGCGACTTTGGAGCTTTCCCTGCATGCACTGCTGGCCCAGCACCCTTGGGACAGGTACCACTGGGAGACCAGTGGCCGGAAAAGGGTTGGTCCAGAGGTCGGAGGGGCTCTGGGTGTGATGTCCAAGGTGCAAAGGCTGCTGGTGCCCACACCAAAGCACAGCTGGAAGCTGGGGCCCCAGCGCCCTGCAGGGGTGTGGAAGGAAAGGGGGGAGCGGGTCAGGGAGGGAAACTGAGGCAGGGGGCGCGGCGGGCTGGCAGGGTCTCAGCAGCAGCCTGCAGCGCTGCGCTTCACGTGGCACGGCTTGCAGAAGAGGTGGTCGTTCAGCGGGTAGCAGCCCTGGTCTGTGGGCTCTATAGACAGGGGGACACTGCAGTCCTGTGGGGACAAAGGCATGCGTGGGTGTCCCTGGGGGGGTGGCACCAGGAGGAACCAGACCCTCCCCGCCCCACCCTCTCCGCTGGGCTTTGGTCCCCAGGGAGGTGGGGGTGAAGGTAGAGTCCCTGTGGCAGAAGCAGGGACACTTGAAAACGGGTCTGAAAAAAAAAAAGGCCGGGGAGATGGCTCAGTGGAATAAGCGCTTCCCTGGCAAGCGCAAGGGCCTGAGTTCAATCCCTGGTTCTGAAAAAAAAAAGAAAAAAAGAAAAAAGAAAAAGAAAACAGGTCTGAAGGGATCACAGTGTTAGGGTACGTGAGCCTGCACAACCCTGGAGCCTGCGGGGAAACTGAGGTGCAGCGGGGGTGAGGCTGCCCCAGGCCACGTGGATGGTTGTGGATGTTTCCAGGCTGAATTGTTTTGTGTTTTTGGGATTATGTGGAGGGCCTTCACACTGGGCTGCACCCCTGGGCTTTTATAAAATTCTGAACAAGGATCTGGCTAAATTGCCCAGGCTCCCGTAAAATAAATAAATAAGTAAATTCAAGAAAATGGGGCCGGGGAGATGGCTCAGTAGAATAAGCGCTTCCCTGGCAAGCGCAAGGGTCTGAGTTCAATCCCCGGTTCCAAATAAAAATAAAAATAAATACATAAATAAATACATAAATAAATAAATTGCCCAGGCTGGGCTCAAAGTTTTTTTTTTTTGGTGGAACCCAGAATTCAACTCAGACCCTTGCACTTGCCAGGGAAGCGCTTATTCCACTGAGCCATCTCCCCGGCCCCTGGGCTCAAACTTGTGATTCCCCCTACCTCAGCCTCCCAGAATGCCAGGCTTATAGGCACCCACCCCGGCATGGGGTAGGGGACCGGGGCCTGCCCTCACTTCCTGCCCCCCTCATTTGGGGGCTGCACACGCGGCTAACAGGGAACCCATCACAGGGCCAGGTCACACAGATCAGCCTCCTCTGTGGCCGGCTGGAAGGGCACCCTCGTGTGGCTGCTCTGTGCAACTCCACCCTAAGTCTGGAGGAAAACGGCCCCTAAGCCCCCGGATCTGTAGCTGTCATTCACGGCAGCCACCTGATCCTGAACTGTAGCCACATACAGCGAGGACGCAGAGGACCCAAGAGCAAAGCAGTTCACCTTCCCAGCGCCCTGGCGGCCTGGGCCCCAGAACGGGTTCACACAGACACAGCAGTGTTTAGAATAACTAATACGCTGACCAAGGGCAGCTGGGACTTCTGTCAAGGGCCCCCCAGCGCCGTCACCATCAGCAGTGAAGACAGAAATGTCAGGGGTAGCCAGGCTGGTGGCGCACACCTGTCCTCCCAGGGCTCGGGAGGCTGAGGCAGGAGGCTTGCTCCCAGTTCAGGCTATCCTGGGCTGTAGGATGAGACAGACAAACAATAGGGAAGGCAGCAGCCGAGTGGCCTCCCAGGCTCAGCCTGGCCCCTGCCACCCTGTGGCCTCCCTGGCCGGGTGCCAGGCCCTTCCCTTCTGTGGCCACACAGTGGCTCACTCGCTTCCCTTGGCCGGAGGTGGGGTGGGTCTTCTTCTGGAAAACCACTCACCCCTAGACTGTGTCTCAAGGTTGCCTTCCCCGAGCTCCTCGCTGCCTTCCCCACCCAAAGCATTTCCTCGAGCTCCTTCCCAGCACCTGGAGGGGACCCCTCTGCACCTGCGGTGACAGGACCTGTCTGTTGCCTGAGTTCTGCCTCCCAGCCCACCCCAGGAGCCGTCGATCCAGGCATCCCAGCCCCTAGCCCCAGATACAGTGAGAGGCCTTCCCAGGGACCACGGCTCCCTGCAAGGGTTTTCTTTCTCTCCCCTGGACTCGTGAATAGGAAGAACAAAAAGAGCCAGCTTTCCGTGCCCAAGCACTGCTGGGCTTGAACTGCAGTCTTCCTGCTCAGCCTCCCAGAATAGTCATGAACACAATTCTAATCGTCAGGCTGCCTGTAACTGTGCCGTCCTTCACTCTGAGCAGAGAAGGCCAGCTTGCGTGACAGCAGGTCCCAGGCCTCAAGGCCAAGCTCATGCAGGTGCCGCAGCCCCAGCCTGGCAGAAGCGCTCACCTCGCATCTGTAGCAGCTCTCGTGGAAGTTCCTCCCCATGCACTCGATTTTGAAGGCGTCCTTCCCGTCCCGGGGGATGATGGGATTCTCACAGATGCTGCACACCGGGGCGAATTTCCTAGACGAAGCAAACTGAGTGAGGCGGCCGCAGAAGTGAGCGACACGACGGGGCTGCTGAGGTCCTCCTGAGTCAGAGACTGCACTGTGCTGCTGCTGTGTGCAGCGGAGCAGGGCCAGGGCTGGGGCAGAGCCACAGCCACCAGGGCTTCGTGCGTGCGTGCATGTGTGTGTGTGTGTGACAGCACTGGAGGTAAGGAGCAGCACACGTGTGTGTATGTGTGCAAGTGTGTGCGTGCGAGTGTGCATAAACTGAGAAATGCGCTTGTGGGCCTGGTCTCTTCTCACTGGTCTATTAGACACCACTTTGTTTTTTCTGCAAGGACTGGGGTTTGTACTTGGGGCCTTTGCACTCAACAACACCCTCAGTCTGTCTGTCTGTCTCTTTCTTTTGGTACTAGAGATTGAACTTGGGACCTTGCACTTGCCAGGCAGGCGCTTAAACCACTGAGCTATAACCCCAGGCCCCCCCCTTTTTTGAGGCAATTTCATTATTAAATTGTTAGGTGTAACCCAGGCTGGGCTCGAACCTTTGATCCCCTGCCCCAGCCTCTTAGAGTGCTGGGGTTACAGCCCTGTATCCCAGGCAGCCAGTCTTGAATGGATGCTTTATGCTCACCAGTAATGGATGTGGAGTCCTCAAGTGTTACGTGCCTCAGCTTGCAGGTTTATTTTATTTTTTTTAGCTTGCAAGTTTAATAAAATGGGCCCCTTCATGGGAAGGGTGGGTCTGAGGATGAGAGGCCGCGGCCTTACCTATAGAAGTCGTCCAGGCAGTACACCTGGTCCTGGCCATCCAGGGCGAAGCTCTCGGCGCCGATGCACCGGGCGCAGGTCACGCATGTGAAGCAGGCTGGGTGGAAGGCCTGGCCCAGGGCCCTGATGATGTGCTCGCGGACCACCTCGCCGCACTTGCCACACTTCTCCAGGGTGTCCTGGGCAGAGGGCTGAGGGTCACACACACACCCCCCCCGCAGCATCCCATCCCAGGCCCTGCTGTCAGGGGCCCCTGGCGGCCAGCGGAGCGGGCAAAGCATACTTTCAGCTCCCCTATCTATTGTTATTTTTTTAATTCACTTTTGGATTTCGAGACAAGGTCTCATTGTGCAGCTCAGGATGGCCTTAGACTCCAAATGGAGGAGATCCTCCTGCCTCAGCCTCCCAGGACTGCAGGCATGTACCCCCAAGCTAGGCTAAATCTCCCAGCCCAGCACTTTCCTTGTGGGGTGTCAGCTTCAGGGAATGGAATCATGTGACCCCGCCAAGCACCCAGCTCCTGCAGTGGGTACCTGGTAGCACAGTTCACAGAGGGGCCGCCCGTCCTTCTGGTAGAAGCTCTGCCCGGCCAGCTGGCGGCGGCAGGTGCGGCAGGTGAAGCACTGGGCGTGGTACTGCTTCTTCATGGCCTCTACCGCCAGCTCCCGGGGGGACACGGTCTTGTGGCAGAAGGCACAGACATCTGGGGGAGAGGGGCACAGCTTGTCACCAGCCAGCCTGGAGGACTGGGCCCAGGCTCACCCAGCCCTGGGCTTCTTTATCTGACAACTACCAATGGTCCAAGGAGCATTAGAAAGAGACAGCACTGGGAGTGGTGATGCAGCCTGTCATCCCAGCAGTAGGGAGGCCGAGGCAGGAGGATGGCTGCGAGTTCGAGACCAGCCTGGGCTGTAAAGTGAGCTCAAGCCCAGCCTGAAATGCTAGTGATGGCCTGTCTCAAAAAGATGAAAGAGGGGGCCTGCCCCTTAGCTCAGTCCTTCAAGTGGCTGCTTCAACAAAGCAGTCAGGCTCAGG